CTCCCTCAGGTAACCCCCCCCCCACAGGCAGCCCTTTTGACAGAAGTCACACCTTCCTCTCCCTTTTTGGTCACTATTTTCCCTTTTTCACCATTTCTAGGATCCCTTCCTCTTTCTTTTGACAAAAGAAACACCAACCAGAGAAGGTATGGACAGAACAAGAGCCAAAACTTTGAATACAAAATGAGCAGAACAGGTTTGGACCCTCTGGCAGAGCTCAGAAGAGGGCAAATTGGGCGATTCAAAACCCAGTTGTCTCCTTTAACAGCTTTGGCTATTCCTAAACCAAGGATGACCCTATTATTCTGCCATTGTTTCGTTCTAATCAACCTCTGTCCCTCCCACCAAACTTTGGGTGTACTTTTTAGGACTCAAATCAGAGGTTAAGGATGGGAGGGCTTAACCAAGAAGCCCCTGATGGTCTTCCCAAAATGAGGTCAGCTCTCCCACAAGGCCTGCTGGAGAGGGAGGGAAACAAACAAAAGACAGACAAAGGGACCTCTTCCTGATTTTTAAAATATCTCTCCAACCACCTGATTGGTTTTTCTTGAGTTCTTATTTGCATTTAAAACAGGAAAATATAATCTGTTTTCTTTGCTCCATAAGACGCACAGACTTTCCACCCCCCTGTTTTGTGGGGAAAAAGTGTGTCTTATGGTGCGAAAAATACGGTAATTAAAATGAAGTTGTTTGCAGATTTGCAGTTGTTTGCTCGTGGTCTGGAACTCCCAGAATTCTGCTTGGGGAACCCCTGGAGAATTCTGGGATTTGAAGTCTAAAAACAAAAACAAATGGAACACCCCTTGTGGACACAGGATGGGAGTGTTCAAAGGGAAGAACATTGCAAAGCAAGGGCTCAACCGCTGGGAGAGCCCTCTTCCTAGTCCCTCATCCCATTGATCAAATAATATGGAAACTTAGAGGATGACTACTGATGTGAACCATCACAATCATTTCCCACTTTATAAGCTTGATGTTCTGGGGCCCATGGAGTCATGGAGCTCAAAGGGGCCCATGAAGGAGAAAAATTTCGTTTCAATTTTATGAAGAGTTATGAAATGCCATCTCAAAACTCTGGAGCTCAATAACGCAAGGAAAAACAGAAATGTGATGGTGACATTAATAAAAAAAAGGGAGGACAAACAATAGAAAACAAGCGAAACGAACCAAAACGGAACTTAAAATTCAGAACAATGGGAGACAAGGGCAGAACTGAAACAAAGGTCAGAATCTCACAAGGCCAGTTTGGATTTTCAAGAAACATCAAATCAAGTAAAGTCTCAGTTTAATGATTTAGAGGAACAATTGAATGTTAGTAATGAGAGTATTTCACTGTCTACAGATTCTAGCCATGGAAGACATAGCGAAGAGAAGAATAGCTTAAATACTGGAAATGATATTGGTCTTCTTATAACAGAGGTGCCTGCTGAATTGGATATATTAAGGGTGATATGGCTTTCTTAAAACATTTCCCAAAGATATAACCAGATTTCCCCTGAAAGTATTCAAATATTATTGTGTCATTATTCTTTATATACTAATGTGTATTGTTGATTTTATTATCTTTCACAGAAATATCTGTCCTCTTTTTAATATATTTGCAAGTATGTTTGAATGTCTCGATCATCAAATTCAGCTGCAAACATTTCCAAGGATTTCCAAGGACTCAGAGGGGAGGGGATGAGATGGGGAGCCACCGTTTCCCTCTCCCTCGCTTCTTTCACTCACCAGGAGATCCCTTTTCTTCCGGACTTTCCTGCCCAGAAATGATTCCCCAAATTTCCTCCCTCCCATCCTTTCCCAGGGTTTCTTTTCCCAGCAAAATCCAGATCAGAAAACACTCACCCGCCCGCCTTTTGTCTCTTCAGGAAAGAGGCTGAGGCTCTTGTTTCCAAAGCCTCCTTTTTAAAGTTCCCTCCTTTTCCCTCCAGTCTGGAGGTCGGAATATTTGTTTTTTTTAAATAAGGGGTTTTAAACTCATTTTCCCTTTCCTATCACGTGATTGAAGCCATGCCAGACTCCTGGCAGGAGAAACACAGACTCGCTCAATCTCCTCTGGGAGCGCCTGGATGGGAGAGTCTTGGTCTCTCTCTCTTTGGGTCACTGGATCAGGCAGGAAAAGGGAATTTACAGTATTTGAAAATATGATCTACCAGGCAGAGAAATGAACCACCAAGCCTCTTTGCCCACTTGCTGGAATGGCCTCTGCTCTGCTCCCAAACCCAGGACTGAATTGGGACCTCCATGATGGGCAGTGGGGTGAGGTCAGGTGTCCCCTCCCGGTGGGTCTTTTTTGACCCACGGGTACCATCAAGTCCCCTCCATAGGATCTCTGCCTGCTTGTTAAAAGGGTGGCAGAAGGTGGGGGATGTGGGTCAGGGGAGGGTCTGTGGGGGGATAAAAAGGCTCCAGTCCTTTCCCAGGTCAGGAGATGGGTGTGGAAAGAGGGATCGGGGCCTTTCTCTTGAGGGGCAGGATAGAAGCATCCCTTTGCAGGCCTGACAGGATCTCCTGCTTCCCGTTGCCTAGGATTATTTTAGGGTTTGTTTCAATCGTTGCGTTCCTCTCAGTTCTAAAAGAATTTTCTCATCACGCTCCCCTTCCCAGCAAGAAGTCAATTATACCCTATTTTCCTTTTAAGATTCCCAGTTTTCCTTCCAAATACACACCCTGTGGTGATACAGTTTATGAGGCCAACTAAATCTGGCACAAAAAGAGAGAGAGAACCAGCTTTCAGGATGGCTATGCCTTCACCCGACAGGAACCTACGAAATTAAACTCAAGTCGTTGTTGTTTAGTCATTTAGTTGTGTCCGACTCTTCGTGACCCCCTGGACCAGAGCACGCCAGGCCCTCCTGTTTTCCACTGCCTCCCGGAGTTGGGTCAAATTCATGTTGGTTGCTTCGCAGACACTGTCCAGCCATCTCATCCTCGGTCGTCCCCTTCTCCTCTTGCCATCGCACTTTCCTAACATCAAAGTCTTTTCCAAGGAGTCTTCTCTTCTCATGAGATGGCCAGAGTACTGGAGCCTCAGCTTCAGGATCTGTCTTTCCAGTGAGCACTCAGGGTTGATTTCCTTTAGAATTGATAGGTTTGTTCTCCTTGCAGTCCAGGGGATCCTCAAGAGCCTCCTCCAGCACCACAATTCAAAGGCATCAATTCTTCAGCGGTCTGCTTTCTTTATGGTCCAGCTCTCACTTCCATACATCACAACAGGAAAAACCATAGCTTTGACTATGCGGACTTTCGTTGGCAAGGTGATGTCTCTGCTTTTTAAGATGCTGTCAAGATTTGTCACCGCTTTCCTCCCAAGAAGCAGGCATCTTTTAATTTTGGGGTTGCTGTCTCCATCTGCAGTGATCATGGAGCCCAGGAAGATAAAATCTGACACTGCCTCCATATCTTCCCCTTCTGTTTCCCAGGAGGTGATGGGACCAGTGGCCATGATTTTAGTTTTTTTTTTTTTTGATGTTGAGTTTCAGACCGTTTTTTGCACTCTCCTCTTTCACCCTCATTACAAGGTTCTTTAATTCCTCCTCACTTTCTGCCATCACTAAAGTAGTGAACATCAAAGTGCAAACCCACATGTTTGCTAATGAAACAAAAACAGAGTGGAGACATCCTTTTATAGAGAATTACCCAGAGACAAAAAAGGAGGCAGTCTTTAACTTGCTGGGCATCAGATCTGCACCAACTCTGGCAAGGATGTAATTGTCAGCTACCTTAAGGACTGTTCATTATTGAAATTGGAGGATCATGATCTAAAAATGGGTTGGCATGCATATGTGTAGTACGGGAATTGTAAAGAACAATCACATTTTGCAGAACATATTCTGAGGAAGGCGCTATGTTTAGTGTGGAAAAATTCCACACACAAATTTACAAGAAAATTCCAATATGGTTTGCTCTGATAGAGTTATTTACGTTGAAAGTGTTGAACCAGAAGGAAGCGTTACTTACATACTGTATAAAGAATTACTAACTAAAGAACAGAATACTGTATAAAAGATAAACAAGAACTAGAGGAACTAGGAGTGGCTACAGACTGGTGGTCAATGTTGAAATTAGAATCGAGATACAAAAAATGGGGGTTTTTTAGGGGAAAGTTCTGGTGGATTAAGTGTGGATATATATTAATGAAAAAATAATTTTTAAAATGTACACATACTTCTTGAAGTATGACTTGGAGGATGAGAGGGTGAAGGAGAT